ATACACTGAAAATATTCCGTTTTTTCATTTGAGATTCTTGAGTTTAGACATTTAAAATAGATATTCCAAGTCTTCCTGTGATTTAAAGAATATGAGCATTCAATATTAATTCAGATGTTGAACTAGTTTTCAAGTTCTTCTGTGTGAATTTCAGTTCTGCACTTTGGCTGTCAGGTGAACGATTCAGTGTATTTCAGCACTTTTTAACTAAACTGAGTCACACAAAGTTGTGCTAAAACCTTTAATTATTATTTTTTTAAGTTTTATTGCTTAAACACTGTATATCAAATGCAGTATGACACACTGAACAAGTTGGATTGGTCTCTGTTTTCAGACTTTCACTCTCTAACACTTAATTCAAAACAAAGTTTCCATCTTATGTACCTTTTATGGTTAGAATAAGGTTAAATTAATTTTATTGTGACTCAGTATTCAAACACATTAAAAATCTTTCACCTTTAACGTCATATTAGAACATTAAAAAAACAGTCATTTGATAAAAAGCAACACAAAAGTGACATCATGTTGCCCTCAGAAATCTGTTGTTTGAATTTTCTTCACCAATTTTTCATCACTTAGCTTGATCATTAAGTAATACAATACGATACCATCACCAGTGACACAGGTAGAGGCTAGAGTTACCTTTGTGAAAGCAACACCTGCAGGCTTGATCACATGATACTGTGTGACGCAGATACAGCTTCTGAAGAAGGTCCACTGCTCCACTGAATACGCCTGCCTTACTGGCATCCTTATTCGTCAAGGAAAGACTCCATCCCAGCGGATCAAGTCAAACCTGCTTGCAGTAAATTGTTGGGATTTAATTTCAACCAAATGAGGATTCTCTCACTTTCACTCCATAAGAAGACGGTTTGATATATCCTTCTAATGACCGTCAAGCATCTCTTTGTGGAATTCAACAAGGTGAACGAACAAGGCACCTTCTCCCCTGGGGACATCCTCTCTGGAAATGTGATAGTGGTGATCAGCAAGGAAATCAAAGTGCAGTGTTTTTCGGTCAAAGCCAAAGGGAAGGCTAAGGTAACTTGGCATGAAAAAGAAGGAGAGGATATTGTGGCCCACAGCAACAAGAAGAAATACTTTTATTTTGAACACATTATTCTTCAAGATAAAAAGGGAGATGGTTAGTATTGTCCCAGTAAAGTTTCTGAGCTGAGAGATATATAATTGCTGTTATAAATACTGACGAACATACAGGTAACATAAAGTGTTTCTTTTTATAAGGTTCGGTAACCATCAGCCCTGGGAGGAATGTGTATTCATTCAACTTTGTAATTCCAGATGTGTATGTGTTCCCCTCTAACATGATCTCTAATAATAAATCTATATTATGTAAACACTTTCTTTCCATATGTTTGAATGAAATCATTTCCCTCTGGGTTCTTTCAGAGACATGCCTTCATCTTATGAAGGGAAATGGGGCAGGATCACATACAGTTTGCGGGCACAGCTTACTCAGTCGATTTGGCTTGTACACAAAACCAAGACTGAGTTTCCTTTTCGGACCAAGTCTGAGTTCCCCTTTGCCTCCAAATCAGAAATGATTATCATTGGACTTCAGGTAAAAGACAAAAAAAAAACTTTTTTCTTTTTGGACTGAGCTCAACTTCAGCTCTCCTAAATGTGTCATGACTTATTTCATTGCCTTTTTTATTATTATTATTATTATTATACTAGGAGCAACAACACGCAACTAGGATTTCATTTTATGGCTCTGGAAAGGTGACTATGAATGTTACCTCAGAAAAAATGGGATTAAAGCAAGGTAAACCGATGTCTCACAGAATATATTTTCCTAAATTTTGTTAACTGAGACATAAATAATGTGGGTTTTTTTTTTCTAAACATACACAGGTGAGGCAGTGGGAGTCTCTGTGGAAGTGCTCAATGATTCAGCACATGCAGTAATACCCAAATTCTACCTGTGTGAGAAGCAGACCTTTGTTGCTGAGTCAAAGAGGAAAGTGCACACAAATGACATCCTGTTTGGGACAGGAGAGCCTGTTCCGGCTGAAACCAGTCAGACCACCACCAAAGTTCTTAGTATCCCTCCGCAGCTCCCTCCTACCTTCTTCAACTGCTGCATGATGAAGCTGGAGTACAGACTCAAGGTACAGACTGTGTTTAAAGACAGTATAATGATATGGCCTTACACCAGGTTACATTACAGAATAATACCGTATTTTAAGATGAAACAGTGTAACACTGAGACAATAAGTCAAATGAGATCTGAAGTTTTTTGGGATACATTTGCACAGCGGTAACAGCACTGCACAGTGGCTGCATACTGGGGACAGGAAGTGTGAGAGGGAGGAAAGGGAAGATTTCCTCATGGCTTGTCCACACACTGATGAGACCACATAAAGCGTCACATTGCAGTCCAACCTGTTCCATGCCATCCGCTCAAACAGATTTAAGCCAGTGCTTTCAGTAAACACTGGTCCTGTGGTGGAGACACAGAGTGCATTATACAATCTAGTCTACAGAAGAAGTAGATTTTGATTAAAGGCAAAATCAGACACAACTTAAAAAGAATGTAAGTAATCAAAGTATCTTTATTTTATTTGTACAGGTTACCCTTGATGTCCCTCTGTCAAGAGAGCCTGTAATCAAACTCCCTCTGGTCATCCTGCTGGGTTCACCAAAACCACATGAGAAAAAGACGAAAAAGAGGTCCATCTGGTTTAGAAAGCTTCCTAGTTAGAAGGATGTGTTAGATCACCAGGAAGTGGCTTGCATGTTCTTTGAAATGAATATCAGGACTGAAAATAAAAACACGAGTTTAAATAAGTGGATGTTTGAACTACCTCAAGTGGGCAACTTCCCAAGTGTCCACTAGGTGGAGATGTGGGCCACATTAGAGAGTAGAAAAAGATTTTTATTTATTTATAGTAAGATACATTTAGAGGGAAATGTGTCTTTCACTACACACAGCTCCACATTGTTTGATTTTTAATTTTCCGAATCAGGCAGTTAGGTCCATAAGTTTATGAACAAAGCCGGATGTTTATTAAATATACCTCTGTACACCATCACGGGGGATTTCAAATCGAACAATCAAGATCTGACTGAAGTGCAGACTGTAATTCAGGGGTTTTCACAAAGCCCTCGTTTTTTTAGTAACTGGACAGACTGAGATAATATTTAATAATATTAAATAATTAAAAGGATTATTTTTAATACTTGTTTTAAATCCTGTGCAGTCAGTGACAACCTTGACATCCACTGTTAGGCCTTTACTGCAGACGCTGGCAGCTGCTGCTTGTCTGTGAATCTCTCTGCTTTCAGTTTTGTCTTCAATAAATGAAAAGCTGCTTTATTGGGTTGGGATCAGGTGACTGACTTGACCTTTGAAGGATATCCCATTTCTTTGCCTCGATAAGCTCCTGGGTTGCTTTTGCATATGCTCTGGGTAACGAGAGTATAGCCCTGCTACTTTCATCAGCAGTCATATCATCAGTAAACGCTAGCTGGCATTGGCAGCTATACATTCCCACGCCTCCACCGTGTTTGAAGCATGATGTGGTATGCTTTGAGTCACGAGCTGAGCTCCTTTCCTCTTTCCATCATTCTGGTAGAAGATCATTTCTATTTAATCTGTTTTAGGTTATTTGAGATGTTTTCTGTCTAATCTAGCCTTTCTGTTATTGAGTATAACTAGTGGTGAGTTTTATGCTGTAAACCCTCTGAATTTACATTCATTAAGGTGTCTCTTGATTGTAGACTCTGGCAATGGTACGCCTAGATACTTTAGAGTGCTCTGCATTTTGATAGATGTTGTGAAGGGTTTCTTTGTGTTTTTTTTACAGCAGCCCTGAAAGGTCAAATGCACTCGAACTTAAGAAAACACCATTACAATGATGCTGTAGCACACAAAACACAAGGAAAGGGCCAATGAAAAAAAATCTGTGATCATCCACTTAGGTGTTTTCTGTGGATTTGTCCCCTCCTAAAGTTTTTGTTGTCACTCTGATGGGTTTATTTTCAGCCTAATAATGGCCACCTTTACTTTCATTGACATTTCTTAGACCTCATATTGAAAATTATCAAATTTACTATGGCAGTTTAATTTAACTTAAAGCACTAACTGGCCATAAATCCAAATGTCAGGCAATTGTTCAATAACCTTTGAGCCTCTGAAAATGGAAAACGCTGCAAACCCCCCAAAACAAAACAAAAAAGCCTGTAATTCCTGGACAGTTAATGCAATACTTCTGTTAAATTCTGCACCTCAGTCAGATCTTGATTTTAAAAAGAGTCACAATTCAAAAAAATTTGGTAACTGCTGCTTTAAATACTAATCATCTGTTGTATTATCAACATACAGTCTTTGTTAAATAGGCAACAGACCTCTACACCCATCCAATCAAAAAGAACAAACTTCACATATCTCTGTGCATAATTATGAAGTACAAAGTACCATTAAATGGACACACATTGTAGGTTAAGTACCTAACCACAGTTCTTGTACAGTAGAGTAAGATTCTTCCTGACATAGTTGTATGAAATAATCAGAATTTTGATCTGGTCTAAACTAGTTCTTTAAAACAAACTTATATATGAGAAACTGCATAATTACATAATTCCTTATCTCAAAATCTCCCTCTGTCTTGTGTAGAACATTTACACAGCGCAGCGGCGGCGAGACACAGTGACTCAGAAGGAGCTGAGAATCAGATGGTAGGGCTTTCTCAAGCTCGTCGTTGTCCGTGGACTCGTTTTGCAACAGAGGAAAGTATTTAACAAAGGCACATTCATGATTCTAACAGAACATGTGTTACCCAACCAGCGGTTCTTAAGTGAAAACAGGCAGAGACTCAGACATCTTTCCTTGCCTAGGAAGGAACAACATGTTGAGAGCTGAGCATTTTATGGTTGAGATTCATCCTAGAAACATTTGACTATTGCGGGACCACATACAACACACCCACCTACCCACAGGGACAGAAAGAGAGGTAGTGGGAGAGAGAGAGCAGTGTCTGGTTCTGACTCAGCACAAACAGGGCTTCACGATTTCACAGTCAGCCCACAAAACAGAGGGAAAAAAAATGACAGAAAAGATCTCAGCATTAATAATACAAAAACATGAGCGTGACCTGCACTGATTCTAATGTTCTGGCCTGCCTGCCCACCGCACTGCTATTTATGTAATTGGAAAATTAAAAATCATATTTCAACCCACATCTGTTGCAGCTGACTTGTCAGCGTGTGTGACTTGAGTGTGTTAGGAAGACTATTAACATTTGAGTGGAAACATAAAATGATATATGTCACAAATGGCTTTTAGTATATCAATTATTGTAAGTAACTGTGATACTTTGACAGTACAATGACTATGTGGGCACAGGAAGACTGGCAGCAGTTGACGTATGTCAATGCAAGCTGGAAAGAAGGAGGAAATTACAGGATCTAAACGGTTTACGGTTGAATACAATAGAAATCTGGAGTGTGGTCAAACACAAACAAATCAAACTAATTCTGCCTCCCCCGCCTGCATGGAGATATCTGCAAAAAGCAGCGACAGTGTAGGCCATGTTCTTCAGTATACCAGCATACAAGCTGTCAGTATGGTTGGGAATGATGAAGTGCAGTGTGTGACAGATTCCTCTAATTCCGGGAACACCTGCATGAAGGCGTATCTACAGGGCAGCAGTTTGGTTCAGTTTTTTGGCTGCACTCATGGTCTTGGCTGCTCTGTAGCAGAGCCTGCCTGGTAACCAGTCTGGCTCCATGTACAGTGCAAGCTTGTCAGCCAGCCAGCTCTCTCCACACACACACACACACACACACACACACACACACACACACACACACACACACACACACTCAACACGCGCCGCAGCCTTTCCTGGGTTTTGGAGACAGGGTAGAGGGAGGTGTGGCCTGTGGCACCTCCCACCTCCGTAGCCAGAGTGAGTACCATGACAACCATGTGAGCCTGCCGGCGACTCCCTGTCTTCATCGGCCACGGTTGCCATGGCAACTCCCCATGGGGCTCCCGCAGATCAGCGGGATGGGCGTCCAGTTGACTAACCCTCTCCCAGCTGGGGAACGGCTGAGGGAGTGCGAGAGAGAGAGAGAGAGAGAGAGAGAGGAGTGAAGAGGAAGGGAGGGTGCATGAATGTGTAGGATGGCACAGCAGCGCCTGGGGAGAGGGAGAGAGAGAGAGAGAGAGAGAGAGAGAGAGAGAGAGAGAGAGAAAGGAAGGAGAGAGACTTCAGAAGGAGAGACACGGGAGACGGGGAGTCTGACCTGCTCAAGCGGCCTATTTCTGCCTACGTACAGGCTTTTAGCTTGCCAGCAGACAGCAAAGTGTGCAGAAAATCTTACGTAAATACATATTAAATCTGAATATTTCTCAATCTAACCGGTCCCGCTTCTTCGGGAGCAGATTTGATTCTGCGCACACTCATTTCACTAATTGTGCACAAGCTGCTTTACACGATTCAAACTCTAATCGATCCATCAGCAAAGCTTCTGTAGAAATGTGCGTCTCTGCTGCCTTTCTTCCATTTTCCATTCGTGTCAGTGACAAGTACCACTCTTTGGGTTTGGACTGAGTGTAATAGGGCCACAGATGGCTCTGTGTCTCTAGTGTGGTTGGAGAAAGAAATGGCATCACTGGGTCCATTGGCTGGAGACTACTGAGGGGCTTTTTCTACTCTCTAATTGCTCCAAGCTGCGTCCCCTTGAACGGCCAGAGACACACACAGATTTTCATGAGTGAAGGAAGAGGGGGCAACCAAAGCTGAACCTGTTTTTAAAGGAGCGCATGTTCATTAAAGCTCACATTTCATTGTTTCTCCTTAGAATATGAATAATGCTTTTAGGGCCACGGGAACAAAGAACTGCGTTTGTTAAGTGCATTAAAATGAAGTTTTTATTTTGGAAAAGGAGAAAGATAAACTTCCCACTGTAAACATTTTCTGATCTTTCTTTCTGTAAGTGCAGAAAAGTTTGATTTCTTCTTCTTCTTTTTTTTTTAATATAAAATCCTTAACATATTTTAAATGTATAAAAAAGTGACACAAGGCAATTCTGTCAGTGTTACAGAAGGCAAGTTGCCAAAACATTCTATACTAATTCAAATAATCTACAGTTTCTCTTATTATTTTTCTCTATTATACGTGCAATAATACTCCTAAAACTAAAACTAGCTCTACATAAAGTGTGACTATATTGTGCACTTGTAGTGGTAACCTTTGGAATTACAAATTGTTTTTACTGTTCTAAAAAAATCCCTTGACACAAGTTGTTTGATTACACAAAGGATATAAAAACAAAACAAAAACAGTTCATTTCTATTTATGAAACTCAGAGAAGCACCCTCCCCTGCATAGGTGGACATTGCATATCTTGCAGCCGAACACGCTTTCATGTCGCAGTCCCTTGTTGGTGCAGTTCCTGCAGCGGCGCGAGCGCTCCGACATGCGCTCTAGGCGATGTCCATACTCTATGGGTGAATCTGCGTGTCTCTTGCGTGCTGCCCGCTCCATGCCCCTCGCCCCTTGGTAGTCTCCAATCAGCTGCTGTGCCAGGCGAACGCGGAAGTGACGTTGGGTGAACTGCTTGCCGTTGAAGCCCGCTGGTGGCGCGCCCCCCCGGCTCTCCCTCAGGATGATGTATGCATTGACGATGCACAGGTTGACATAGAACCACAGGAAGTAGCGCCACCACTTCTTGCACGGCCTGCCAACCTGGTAGCACTCCCTCAGCTGGTCACACAGGTCCACGCCCCTCATGTTCTCCTGGTACAAGAGCAAGGGCAGAGGTCGGGGCACGCCAAAAGACAAACCTGAGCTGTCTATGCTGTCATTCTCACCATCTCTGTCTGCCTCGTGCTGCTGCCGGCCTGGACTGATGCCCACAATTCCTGGAGCGGAGTTGGTGGACAGGCAGCTGACCACCTTGGCGTCCCTTGTCACAGTAGCAACCAGGTTGCCACGCTGGCATTGGTAGAACTCGCCCTGGGACAGCTTTCCGACGTTTCGTGGGCGGAGGACCTCTGGGTAACCTTTGCGCCCGGGCTGAGTGGGCCCACAGGCATACTGTCCGTCTCTCAGCAGCCTCTGGAGGAGGGGCACAGAGGTGAAGAAGCTGTCCATGAAGAGATGGTGGTACTGACCCTCCAGGCCGCGCACTAAAGAGGTTACCACTCTGTAACCGAGGCAGGCTGCTGCCTCGTCTTCACTGGGCCGGCCTACGTAGATCTTGGCTCGATGACAGTAGCCTGAGCGAGAGTCACACAGCATCCACACTGTCAGCCCCTTCCTGAGGGGCTTGGAGGACATGTACTGGGTGGGGGAGAAACGTCCCTTGGTGACAATGGCACACTTGTCTATGGTCAAACAACGATTGGGCACGTACGCGTCCCACATGGTGTTCTCCACCACATCAAGGAGAGGCCTGATTTTGAAGAGGCCATCATATCCACGCTCCCCACGCACGGGCTCTGACTCACGGTCGCACAGCTGGAGATACTGGGTGAGTTTCTCAAAGCGCCTCGCCGTCATTGTCTTTTTAAAGCCCGCATTGCCGATGAAAATATCACTGGCCCAGTACATGCCGGTGTCTGGAAGCTGATTGATGCCCATAAGAATATTCAGCCCCACATAAGCTTTCATCTCCCTAACATCAGTTGGGTGCCAGTGGGGGTCTGATTTTCCGCTCCTCCTTTGCCGATAGAGGGCGTAATTGTTTGTTTGTTCTACCATGTGTTCAAAAAGAGAATCTGGGAAGAGTATCCGGAAATAGTCACGGGTGTCAGCATCGTCCCCCAGCGAGTGCTGAGGGCCACTGACAGCGGAGAAGGGCTCGATTGAAATTACCTGGTCAGGCTCGCCCCAGAAGTCGGGAGAAGTGCAGTCTTCATCCAAATCATCTTCAAAGCTGAAAAAACTCCTGCGCTCCTCCTCCTCCTCCAAATCGGAGAAATCAATATCCGAATCGTTCGAGGTGGTGTCAGAGCAGTTAGTGGAGGTAGAATAATAGCAGTCCTCTGCATACTCCTCCTCGTCGTGCTTGAGCCCATTGCTGCCTGTGACTAAAATTATGTTGCAGCCTCCTCCTGCGATGAAGCTGGCCGCGTCTGCAGTCTCCGCCGCCGCGGCTGCTGCTGTGCTCGTGAATCCATTCTCCCCCTCGCCGCCGCCGTCCTCCTCTTCCTCTTCCTCCCGCAGTTCGTCTTCCTCGTCCGAGTCTGGCTTTCTGTACGGAATCTCAAACCACTTCACATCGGCCGAAAGGTTAAGCGGAGAGTCTTGGCTGTCGCACGCCGCTGTACTTTCTGTGTCCGCGCTAGTTTCCAAAATAGTAAAAAGCTCTCTCCCTTTTCTTGCCGTCGCCATGTCGGGGTATTAAAGTGCCCCTGCATGAGTCTTTTTATGTAGATTTTTTCACTGTGGAAAAATATTCGCGCAAACCGGCCATCCGAAATGAACTGATGTGCACTTAACAGCAGCCTCTTCCCTCAAAAAAACTTGCCAGCGGTGGACCTATGCGGCGTCTATAAGCTTGATTCTCATTGTTTCCGCTCCTGGTTTTTCTGGGCTTTGTAGCGCAGTGTGGCCGCAGACGTCAGAAGCTGCATGCATGTCCTGCTTTGTAGGGCGTTTTGCGACTGCAGCTGGTGGGGTTGCTAGTTCGCTAGGCTGGCAGATGGCCGCTTGCTGTTCTAATGCCCGCTGGCATTCCCCACCATCAATAAGCCGGATACCCATTTCTGAGGCCGCGGAGATAACAGAAACCACTGCTTTAAAAAACAAAAAACAACAACAACATCAAAATCACACGCTGTCAATCAGCTGTCACACCAAACAGCTGTAAAACATTGTGGATCCTGCAAACAGATTACAAACTCTGAATTTCCCCTCAAACATTTCTACCTTTGTTTTTTCACAAGTTTATTAAGTTTAGTTTTTTTTCCCTAATGTTTGCAACTGTGACAACTAAATGCATAAAAAAACCACACACAGCAGTTTTAAAGTGCAGGACTTCTTATCCATCCCCATGCCAAACAGACACCACAATGAACTCGGGCAGAGAAGCAGTTTGTTCATTCATAAACATGCTTCTTCCCTCTGACAGGTTCTTACATGAATCTGAAGCCCTATAGGCTATTGTGGAATTAGGGACCTCCCTCTATTTTATGAATGTGGGCAGATACTCTTGTGTTTTACTCTCAGACTGAGGTTGGAGATCTTTGCTTGATGAGATTGATTCCCCCTGCAGGTAGTGGCTGCAAACCCGTGAGATGCTGGCCCTTTTATTTTCCTTTAACTGTGCCATTTCAATTAGGATTTCCCGTGTTTACACACTATACACTCATGACTCTGCC